ACTGCAGGGGGAGGGAGGATCCAGTCAGTGCTTGGGTGGGGCTTGTGGTGGTGGGGGCGGGGTCATCCTCCCAACACTGTCAAACCCACCCCCTATGGTTCCCTGCCAATACTGTACCCCTCCCCCATGCATGCCCACCTTCAATTGTCCTCCCTCTGCTCAGTGCCCAGCCCCTGCAGCAACCACAGCCTGGCTCCCTGCCTGTGCCCTTCCCCCCAACCCATCCCTCAGCCTCCCATCCCATCCCCATCCTCTTCCCCACTGACAGCACCCTGCCCCCCATCCCCCACCTCCCCTGCAAACCCCCCACAGCCAGGGATCACAGCGCCCATCCCCCCCACTCACAGTGCACATCCACCAGGGTGCTGACATTGGTGCTGCCCACGGCGTTGGCCACCTCGCAGGACACAGGCTGGGTGAAGAAGGAGTGATCCACCCTGGCCTCGTAGCTGTCCCCATTGGCCTCGGCAATGACCGCGCCGCCCTTCGCCCACCTGCCCCACAGCCGGCGGGGGGGAGAGACGCAGAATTAGGGGGAGCCGCTGCTGCATCAGCTGGGGGCAGTACCTCCTGTGCCCACCAGGGGGCGTGGATTCTCCTCTGCTCCCGCAGGTAAGGCAGCAAGAGCCGGTGGGAGGGGGCCTGCATGTCCCCACTGCAGCCACCAGAGGGCAGTGCATCCCCGCCCCCTCCCCTGGCTGGGCCCGCCGGGTCTCCCAGGGCACCCGGACGCCGGGGTCCAGCAGCGGCTCTTACCGGTAGCCGGTCACCTCGGGGTTGGCAGTGGCGGTGCAGAGGAAGCTGACCTTACCCCCCTCCGGGACAGTCTGTGGCTGGACAGAGAGGATCACGGTGGGGGGGTCTGGAGGGGGGAAGGGGAAGACGGTCAGAGACATGCGACCAGCTCTTGGGTGGGGCTCACCTGCCTCCTGCCGAGCCCCCTGCCCTGCCCCTCACAACACAGTGCACCCCACCAGGCACCCCCACCCACTGCAGCATGGCTCCCCCCAGCCCCCACAGCACAGCACCACCCGCCGGGTACCGAGTCCCCTCCCTGTCCCTCACAGCACAGTGCACCCTGCTTGGCCCCCCCACCTCTGCAGCACAGTGCCCCCCACCTGACCCTCCCCTGCTCCCCGCAGCACAGTGCCCCCGCTGAGCCCCTTGCCCGGGCCCCCACAACATGGTGCCCCTGCCAGCTCCCCTACCCCCACAGCACGGCGCCCCATGCCAAGACCTGGCCCTGCCTCCCACAGCGCAGCGCCCCCGCCCCCCAGGTCAGGACTCACACAGCACGTCAAGGGTGATGGAGGTCTGCTTGCCAGCAGGTGCGGCCGGGTTGGCGACGCGGCAGGTGTAGGCGCTGCCCATGTCCTGGGTGCTGGGCGTGAGAAGCAGGGTGCTGATGGCCGTCGCCCGCTTCCCATCCTCCATCAGGGCCTGGGGGGCAGGAGCAGAGGTCAGGCCTCAGCCTGGGGCCCACTATGCCCATCCCCCAATGGGTCCCGGGGGCTGGGAGGGAGAATCTCCCACCCCCCCACTGTGCCGTCCTTTCATGCCATATCCCACCTCCCCTTTAATACCCTCCGAGGCCCCCCCCCGCTGCCCCTTTAATAGCCTGTGTCCCACCACACACCTGGGCTGCCCCTTTAATTCCCTGCACCCCACACACTTCAGGTTGCTTTTTAATAACCTGCCCCACACACATACCCTGTGCCCCCCCTTTAATGCCCTACCCCTGCACCCTGGAACCTCACCTTGGCATAGAGGGCAGAGTCTTGCAGCTGCCCATTGCGGTACCAGCTGATCTCAGGGGCAGGCTTGGCACCAGACACCTGGCAGGTCAGGTTGTAGGGCACACTGGCCTGGACCCGGACGATGGGGCCGTTCTGGATCACGGGGTCATTGGGCGGTACTGGGGGGGGGCAGATGGGAGACAGGGGATCAGTGATGGGGTGGGAGTCCCCAGGGCAGTGCCCCAGCTGTGGGGAGAGGGGGCTCCAGTGCTGTGAGCTTCCCCAGCTGGGGGGGGAGGGGACACTCACGGAGCACCGTGAGCTGGGCACGCTGGGAGCGCAGCGCCGCCTGCGTCGCCTGGCACTCGTACACAGCGTCGTCGCCAAGCTCAGCGGACTCGATCCTCAGGTTGTGCTGCCCGGCCGCCGGATCCCCGACGATGGAGTACCGGGACCAGCCTGCGGGAAAGAGGGACAGACTGCAGGGACTGGCACAGCACCCCCCAGGGACCACCATCTCCCCCCACTCCAGCACAGTGCCCCCAAGGATCCCCAGTCCCCCTCACAGCACAGCACCTCCCCAGGAACCCCTGGTCCCCCCTCACAGCACAGTTCCCCCTGGGTACCCCCAGTCCCCTCCCCGACAGCACAGTGCCCTCTGAGGACCCCCAGTCCCCTCCCCTGCAGCACAGTGGTCCCCAGGGACCCTCAGTCCCCTCCCACAACATGGCACCCTATGGAGTCTCCTGGTCCCTCCCCCCCACTGAACAGCGCCCCCTGGGGACCCCCAGTCCGCTCCCCTGCAGCACAGTGCCCTCTGGGGACCCCCAGTCCCCTCCCCTGCAGCACAGCGGCCAGTGGGGTCCGCTGGTCCCTGCCTCCCTGCAGCACAGCCCCCCCAGGGACCCCCAGTACCCCTCAAAGCACAGTGCCCCCTGCTGACCCACCCTGCAGCCGCGTACGTACCAGGCAGGTCTCGCTCTCCGCCCAGTGCCAGGCCATCCTTGGTCCACTGCACCATGCCCTGGTAGCCCACAACCACGCAGGCCAGCGTCACCGACTGCCCCGCCACGATCACCTGGTCCATGGGCTGCTGAAAGAAATACGCCCCCCAGCCTGGCGGGCGGGGGAGGGGGAGGTGTTAACCAGACAGGGGCCCAGGGATTACGGGAGGCGGGGGGGATGGGGGACTGGGAGCCAGGACTCCTAGGTTCAATCTCATCTTGGGGAGGGGAGTTCATGAGGGAAAGCTCCCAACAGGAGCACAAGGTGGGGGGAGATTGGCTGGGGAAGGGGGGCAGCATGGGGAGCACAGGCCAGGGGGATGGGGGATCCTGTCAGCAGGGGAGGGGGGCGTGGGGAGCGCAGGCCAGAGGGCATGGGGGATCCCAGCAGCAGGGGAGGGGGGCTTGGGTAGCACAGCTGGGAGGGGTGCGGGATCCCGGCAGCAGGGGAGGGGGGCTTGGGTAGCACAGCTGGGGGGGGGGGAATCCCGGCAGCAGGGGAGCACAGAAGGGGGGGATGAGGCATCCCAGCAGCGGGGAGAGGGGGCCTGGGGAGTGCAGGCCAGAGGAGATGGGGGATCCCGGCAGCAGGGGAGGGGGGCGTGGGGAGCGCAGGCCAGAAGGGATGGGGGATCCCAGCAGCAGAGGAGGGGGGCATGGGGAGTGCAGGCCAGAGGGGATGGGGGATCCCAGCAGCAGGGGAGGGGGGCGTGGGGAGCGCAGGCTAGGGGGGATGGGAGATGCCATCAGCAGGAGAGGGGGGCTTGGGTAGCACAGTTGGGGGGGATGGGGGATCCCAGCAGCAGGGGAGGGGTGTGTGGGGAGCGCAGGCCAGTGGGGATTAGGGATCCAGGCAGCAGGGGAGGTGGGCATGGGGAGCACCGGCGAGGCAGCTGGGGAATCTTGGCAGCAGGGGAGGGGTTGATGTGGGGAGTGCAGGCCGGGGGGGATGGGGGATCCAGGCAGCGGGGAAGGGGTGTGAGGGGAGGGCAGGATGGGGGGGATGGGGAATCTAGGCAGCGGGGAAGGGGGCATAGGGAGCACAGAATGGAGGGGGGGAATGGGGGATCCCGGCAGCAGGGGAGGGGGGAGCTGGAATGAGGCCCCCAGTAAATCCATTTGATATTGCAAGTGAGTGAGGGACTGGTGCAGCTGGAGGGGCCTTTCTGTGGGGCCTGAAAGGGGTGAGGCAGGGTGGGGGCAGGGAGACGGAAGGGGCAGGCAGAGAGGGGTGCATGGAAGGGCAGCTGCTGTGGTTGCCAGCGGGGCAGGGAATGGGACCCTGGCTTGCTGGGGGGGTCTGGTCCACCTGCACTGCCCCCCCCGAGGAGTCCATAGGGGAAGGAGGGGGTTATGGGGTCTCTGCCAACCTCCCCACCCTGGGCACCTTAAGCAGGATTGTAAGGGTGTTGTGGTGCCTATCCCCACAGAGCTGGCCCAGCCTTTCTGTGGGCCTGGCAGGCTGGTAGGAGGGGACACGGGGGGGACGTTGGGGCCAGGGCTAGGGAACAGGAGTCAGAGACCCCCGCAATGTACTCAGGGCTATCTGCCCCGCACAAGGTGGGGGGAGATTGGATGGCGAAGTGCCCCCCTCCCCTGGCCTCCCCAGCTCCACCCCCCACAGACACCCTCCCCAGGGTCCCCCCCAGCCCTTCCCCAGGGACCTCTGTCCCCTAGCCCAACCCCACAGATACCCACTCCCCCAGCAACCCCCAACTGTCCACCCCATCCCACTATGGATACCAGGGCCGCCCTTAGGATTTATGGGGCCCTACGCAGTATTATTAAACTGGTGCCCCATGCCCGACTTGGGGCACAGCCACCACCCCCGCCCACGGACCCCCCAGAAGAACCACCCCCCCATTGCTGACACACACTGAGCTTCCTACACAGTCGACGCTGCGGCAGCCCTGGGGGGAAGGGACAAGGCAGCAAAGGATACCAGCCGCCCAGCCCGCCTCACCGCGGCGGAGTCACAGTTCCCCGCCCCATACCCTGCGCGGCGCTGGCGCATTCGGCTCTGGGAATACGGCATTGCCTAAGGAGACGGCAGCGTGCGCTGGGTGTGCGGGAGCCGACCCGCTCTTACCTGCTGTCCCGGTGGTGCCCCAAATTTTCGGATACCCTATGCAGCCGTGAATGCCTAAGGACAGCCCTGATAGATACACCCTCCCCCCACCTAATTCTGCCCCCCGGTTGCCCTGTACTCTCCCCACTACCCCATTCCCCCTAGGCCTTGCCCGAGACACCCCCACCCCAGCCCCAGCCCCCTGGGGCAGGAACTGCTCCATTTCTGCAGGGAAGGAGCCCAGAGGCTGAAGGGTGAAAGATCCTTTTTGCACCACTGAGATTCCTCGGCTCTGATCTCCTGGCTAAACCCTTCTTAATTCCAATCCAATCACACCGCCCTTTGTCCCGATTGTTTCCAAGTTTACCCAATAAACCAGGATCTGAATAAGGGGATAATCCTCTGAGGAGGGTCAGGAGGGGCTGGGGGGAGCGAGACAGAACAAATCAGAGGGAGATGCACATATGCCGGGCTTTGTGCAGCACAGGGGATCCAGGAGTCCCAGCTCGAACCCATTACACCCCACTGCCTGGGCCAGAACCCAGGAGTCATAGAACCTCAGGGTTGGAAGGGACCTCAGGGGGTCATCTAGTCCAACCCCCTGCTCAAAGCAGGACCAATCCCCAGACAGATTTTTGCCCCAGATCGCACTAAATTCTCACCCACTCGCAATGCCCAGCGGGTGAGGGACTGGGCGTGCGCTGGTCATCGGGTGAGGGCAGAGGGGGCTATGTATGCACACACACAGATGTGACACACACACACACACATGGAGACGCACACACAGCTGTGACAGACGCACACACACAGGGCTATGTCACACACACACACAGGACTCTGATACCCATACACACACTGCTCACTGACACACACAGAGCTTTGGCTTGATACACAAACACACCTCTCTCCTCTGTAGCCAGTGACACTGACTCTGACCCCCTCCCCATCACACGCTGACTGAGACACACTCTGTGACATTGCCAGATTTACAGATCCACAAGGGATCACGCACACCCTGACCCAGATTCACCCCTCCTGACACCCCCGCACACCCTGACACACACACACAGGCTCAGCCCCCTCCCCCTGCACGGACACAACCACGCACAGACTCACACTGGCTCTGGGGCATAGTGTCACACACACACACACACACACAGTCCAGGGATGACCTGGACTCACCCTCAGGCTCCCCGAGAACATTCGCACCCCATGACGCAGACCCGCAGCAACAGCCGCAGTGCACCGCGGTGGCTGACGCTCATATCCTGTCACACCCGCTCACCATCGCTCAGCTCACCGGGCTGGTCCCGTGTCCCCACTCCCAGCCTGGGGGAGAAGATACATGGCACCCTGGGGAAGACCCCTGCTACAGCACCCCACTCTTCTCCCAGAGCTGGGGAGAGAACCCAGGAGTCCTTGCTCCCAGCCCCCCCTGCTCTAACCACCAGACCCCACTCCCCTCCCAGAGGCAGAGATAGAACCCAGGAGTCCTCACTAGAACCCACTCTTGGCCCACAGCTGGAAATAGGGGGAATGATTCCCAGTGGTTAGAGCGGGAGGGGGACTGGGAGTCAGGACACCTGGGTTCTATCCTGGCTTGGGGACGGGAGCGTGTCTAGTGGTTAGAGCCGGGGAGAGGGGGAGGGCTGAGAGTCAGGATGCCTGGGTTCTCTTGCCATCCCTCCTTCCCCACTTGTCAGTTCTCCCACCCCCTCCACTGAGAGATACTCAGCTGCATTTCCACGCTCAACAGCAAATCCGCTTGGAAGCTGCACAGAGACCTCAGATTCCTGCCTCCTAACAGGCGTGAAATCTGTGCCCATTGTGCGCCTGCCTCTGGGGACGGGGCGCTGGAAGCTGCGCAGTTCCAACAAATAGCTTTGTGCAGAAAGTGGGGCCCTGCTGATCCCAGCCTGGCCAGGCCCTCTGCCCCCCAGTAACCCTCCCTGTACAGAAGGGAGGGACAGAATGGGGGAAAGGGCCAGCAGAAAGCACTGAGCCTCCGAGGATGGATATAGCCAGAGGCACGGTGGGTTAGCGGTTAGAGCATGGGACAGCGAGTCAGGAAACACGGACTCCACCATGTGAGCTTGGGGTGGGGGCGGGGCTGGGAGCCAGGACTCCTGGGTTCTCTCCGTGGCTCTGCCCCTATACTGCTGCCCAGGTGAACTTGGACAAGTACTGTTGCTTCTCCGTGCCTCAGTTTCCCCCATCTACATAAAGAGGATAATGAGAGTGACTGGCAGAGGAGGCAGCCTCAGGAGGCTGTCCCATTCCCCACCCGCCTGAGCCACCCAGTGTCCCCCATTAGCCCTGGGGCCAGTATCTTGTCTCTCATGGGGCAGGGAAGGGTGGATGAGGCGTGCGAGTGCAGTGTAGGGCCAGGCAGACAGAGGCCAGGCCGTGGGGGGCTGTGGGGTTAATGCAGTGCCCACACAAAGCCGGTGTTGTTGTGCTGGGAGTGGCAGTGAGAGGGGGCGGGGCGGGGAGGAACATGGGGGGCCCCACCCTGGGGCAGACAGCTTGTGAGAGCGGGAGCTGCCAGGACCCACAATGGACCCCTTTGTGCTGGGGCTCATTCAGCGCCCATCCCCCCTCCTCCGTCCAGCCACCCCCACGCCTGCTGCCTTGGCAGCCCAGAGCAGGGCCGGCCACTCCCCCCCGCTCCCACCAGCCTGGCCCTCCTGCCCCACAGCTTGCGACCCCTCTCCACTGGCCTCCCCCCCCCCCACGGTCTGCACCCGCCACAGCCTGCACCCCCACCTCCGCCAGCCTGCCCACTCCACCTCCACCAGCCTGGCATCTCCACCAGCCTGTCTCCCCGTGGCTTGTGACCCCCCCCACAGCCAGCACTTCTCCACCTATGCTGGCCTGGCCCCCCTTCCTCCACTGGCCTGGTGCCTCCACTAGCCTGGCCCCCCATGGCCTGTGACCCCCCTAGCCCCACGGCCAGCACCCCTCCACCTACGCTGGCCTGGCCCCCCTGCCTTCACTGGCCTGGCCCCCCATGGCCTGCACCTCCCCCATGTCCACCAACCTGACCCCCCCACCCAGCCCTCCAGCCTGAACCCCCCCCATCTCTGCCGACCTGGCCCCCACCTCCATCCTCCCCACTGCCCAAAACACAGCCCAGCATTGCTCCCCCCCAGCCCACTGGCTAAAGGGGGGCAGCAGGAGAGAGAGAGAAAGTGGGGGGGCGGAGGGCGGGATATGGGGATAGATAAATGGATGGGTGTCCGTGTGTATGCGGATGGATGGACGGCCAAACAAACCCTGCACCTTCTCTCCCCTCCTCCCCACTGACCCTCCCCCCTTTCACTGGAGGGGGTGGGTGGAGTCTTGCAGCTGCACAGGGCCACCCCACTGGCATGAGAAACCCCCCACATGCCCAGCCGGGCACCCCATAGCAGGGGTTGGGGGGCACATGCCCCACGTGCCCGGCAATGAGCATAACACCCCCTGGCAGGTTTGCCAGCACCACCTGGCACCAGCTCGGCCCCCAGAAATTAGGTCACTTCCAAACAGCCAACAGATGTTAATTTTGTGTGTGTGTCTGCAAAGCCGGCCCCTCCCCCATGCCCAGAGGAATGGCAACCCCCCCACCCGAGCCTGGGATTAGAACCCAGGAGTCCTGGCTCCTAACCACCCCACTTCCCCCCCGCCAAGCTGAGGAATAGAACCCAGGAATACAGGTTCCCAGTCCCGCAGCTCTAACCCACTAGACCCACCACCCAGGAGTCCTGCCTCCCAGCCCCACCTACTAGAACCCCTCCCAGATCTGGGGAGAGAACCCAGGAGTCCTGGCTCCCAGCCCCACTGCTGTAACCTACTAGACCCAACTTCTCTCCCAGAGCAGGGGATGGAACCAAGGCCTCCTGATCCTTACAGAAAGTATCACCAGAGCGTGGGTTAGTTACTGAGCTCGCATGGCCAGACCACCAGGCCCCCTGGGTTTGACATCCTGAGCAGCAGGGAAGGGGGGAGGGGCAGGTACCAGGGTCAGTGGGTCTGATCTGGGGTGGGAGGAGATATGGGGTTGGATGGGCCCATGGAGAGCTGCTACAGAACAGTTATAGTCCCCTCTCCTGACCCCTCCCCCCAACCCATCCCCAGCAGCCCTGGAAACCCCCCCCCCCCAAGCACCTGGGCCCCCATCCCTCCCCTGTCAGACTCTGATCTTCCTATCCCCATAACCCCCATGATTTTCCCCACAAGCCCCTGGGTCCCCATCCCTCCCCTGTCAGACCCTGATCCCCCCCAGCCCCATAACCCCACGATTTCCCCCTCAAGCACCTGGGCTCCCATCCCTCTCCTGTCAGAACCCAAAGCCACTCCCCCAGTCCCCACCCAGCCCCCTGCCAGCTCCTCTGAGCCAAGTGAATGGAAAACAATGCCCCAAGGCAAAGACACCCCCTGCTCCATCCAGCCCCCCTCTTCCCCCCCCGACACTCTGCCCCAAACCTCTCAGAATTCATTAGTGTTTCTGTAAAGGGAATTCATAGCTGGGGGGCCCAGCAGCCCAACCAGGCGTGTAAGTGTGAGCTCGGCTCAGCTCCCCTGACACCTCCAGAACCCCCCCACACACACACCCTGGGGGCGACTGGCACCCAGCCGTGCCTGGGCACCTCCACACCTGCCCCAGGGCAGGTCTGCTCCTTTCTCTGTCAGCGCAGGAGGAGAGGATCTGACAGACACACTGGGAAAGGGTGGGGGGAGAGGGGAAATGGAGCTGAGATTTTGCTCTTCCCCATCCCCCTCTGTATCCCTGCCAGAGCGTAGGATAGCCCACAATGCTCTGGGCCTCCAGAAGGGGAAATTGAGGCAGTTTTAGCAATGGAACTCAGGAGTCCTGGCTCCAAGCCCTTCCCCTCCAACCACTGGTTCCCACTCCCCTCCCAGAGCTGGGACAGAACCCAGCAACCACCTCCTCAGGAAGTCTGTAGGGGATGATCCAGGAAATTGCAGACTCGCAGGACTCATTTGGTTCTTTCCCCGGAGCACCCCATGGGGTGGAGGAGAGGCTGGGGGACAGCTCCCCACTGCCTGCTACCCTTCTCCCCCCATGGGGGCCGTATCACAGCACCCCACTATGGGCACTCATTGGGGCCCCTTCCCAGTAAGATCCTGAAGGGGTGGGACAGGCACTGGGGAGCAGGATAATTATCCCTCCCTGAGCTTAGTGCATTTACTCCACACACACACACACACACACACACACACACATACATACATATCCCCCCCCCTCAAAACACACAGCTTGGCACAATCATCCTGAGTGGCAAAGACCAGAGGAGCTCGCTCAAGGTCAGGATGCCAGTAGCAGGATGCCAGTAGCAGTAGAGAGAACCCAGGAGTCCTGGCTCCCAGCCCCCCCTCCCACTATAACCCACTAGACTCCCCTCCCCTCCTAGAGTTAGGGAAAGAACCCAGGAGTCCTGGCTCCCAGCCCACCACTGTAGCCAGTGGTGCGTGTGCAGAGTCCTGGGAAGGAAGGCTAAGAAGACCCCTCCAAAACCAGCCATTGCTCAGCCTACTTTGGAGATAGTGGAGGATATGACCCGGGGGGACCCAACTGATCCCCACCCAACAAGCCCAGGTCCCCATCCCCCCAGCTCCTACCTATGTGGGCGAGGCAGCTCAGGGCCAGGATGCAGGGAAGCAGGGCTGACATCTCTGTGCTGGGTTGGGGAGCCCTTGGGGGATCCAGCTCCCGTTCCGGTCCGCTGCTGACACTGGGATTGGGATCGGTAAATCCACACTGCAGCTCTGCTCTGGATTCCTCTACACCCACCGGGGGAGGGTGGTGGTCAGGACTCCTGGGTTCTATCCCAACTCAGGGAGGGAAGAGGAGGGAGGTCTAGTGGTTAGTGTGTGGGGGCTGGGAGCCAGGACTCCTGGGTTCTATCCTGAGTTCTGGGAGGGGATGGGGGTCTAGTGGTTGGGGGAGCTGGGAGCCAGGACTCCTGGGTTCTATCCCGAGCTCTGGGAGGGGACGGGGGACTAGTAGTTGGAGGAGCTGGGAGCCAGGACTCCTGGGTTCTCTCTCGATCCCGAGAACCCACTCTGCACAGCCAGGCTGATGATGCTCTGGAGTCCTTCAGCTCTGGGGATAGCGACTCATTGAGGCCAGCAGCCGGCAGGCCCCGCCCAGGGTGTGCACTGATTGGTGGAGAGGGTGCTCTCATTAATAAAAAAGATCACACAGACAGAGCCTGGGTCATCTGCTCTGAGTGGGGGGAGGGGGAGCCCCTCATCCCAGACAGAGGGTCCCCCCCCCCAGCAGCATGAGAAGGGCATTAGGGGATATGGGGTGTTGGGGGGGGGGTGTAGGTAGGTAAGTGTGTTACACAACACAGTGCACACATGCATGGATCAAGCCAGCTCACAAGAAGAGTAAAGGGGAGAGTGGGCACATAACACATGCACCTCCACAACCCCAGGAGGGGTGTGACCCGGTGTGTGTGTAGTGAGGGTTGTGTTTGTGCAGTGGTGTTGCTGTGCATAGCGGGATGTGTGTGTCTGTATGTGGGTTGCAGATGCAGTACGTGTGCACATCCTAGGTGTCATTTGTGTGTCTCTGCGCTGTGCTTGTGTGTTGCAGTTGGTGTGTGCGCTGTTTGTGTGTGCAGTGTCTGGTGCTGTGTGAGCACAACCGGAGCTGGTTGCTCCCCTTGCCGTCCCCCCAGCAGGGAGGCCTAAGAATAGGAACTGGGAATCCCAGGGGGCAGCCACTGCACAACAACCTGACGCAACCCCCAGCTTCCTGCCAGCTCCTCGCCAGGCACAGCCTGCTGCCCCCTCAGCTTAGCTAGATCCTCAGCCCCCAGGCCCAAACAGCTCCATCTTCCCCAGCCCGGCCTGCTCCCCTCCTTGGTTCCACCCTCTTTCTCTAGTTGCCCCTGTTCTTTCTTGGCCTTTCACAGCTGCCTACCCTCATGCCCCCTCTCTCTGCCTGAGCAGGTAGCACCAGCTGACAGAGCGCATCCCCCGGCCTATGACCCTGCCCCCTGGAGAGTCTTGCAGCCACATGAGTGGAAATGCCATGGGGCTGGGAATTTCCCCCCATCTGTTCCCAATTATCTCTTGGGAGTTTGTGCAACAGGGGAAATGGGGGAAGCTGAGACCTCATGGAGTTGACTCACCCCACACAGGGAGATAGAACCCAGGCATCCTACGTCCCAGCCCCCCACCTCTAAGCACTAGACCCCAGAACTCCTGACTGCCCCCTCCCACTTTAATCACTAGTCCCCACTCCCTTCCCAGGGCCGGGGATAGGACCCAGGAGTCCTGGCTCCCAGCTCTAACCACTAAATATCACTCCCCTCCCAGAGCTGGGAAACAAACCCACTAGCCCCTACTCCCCTCCCAGAGCTGGGGATAGAACCAAGGAGTCCTGGCTTCCAGCCCACCCTGCTCTCTGTGCTAGGCCATGCTGCAGGCACATGCCTGCCCTGCCAGTCCCCGGGTGATGAGGGTGAATGGGAAGCAGATTGTGCTGGGGTGTGTGTGGAGGGGGGGAGATTTAAGGGGATTTCTGCTGGTTTGTGTTTTCTTTGCTAGACAGATTTAAGCCCCCAGCTCGGTTTTGGTGTGTTTGTGCAGTGCGTAAGTTCTGTGTGTACCTGCGTGTTCATGTGTGTTTCGGCATGTTTGTGCAGCGTGTGTAGCTCTGCATGTACCACGCCCTAGTGTGTGCGTTGGTGTTGCTGTATCTCTGGGGTCAGTGAGCGGGACTGTGTCTGGCTCTGGGTGTGTCCAGAGGACTGTCGCAGAGTGCTGTGAGTGGGGGTGTAGCTCGGAGACACCCAGCAAGCCGCCGTTGGAATCTGTCCCAAGAGGATTTGGAAAGAATATTCTGAAGATTTGGGGATTAAACAGAAAAAAAAATTGGCATCTGTATGGAGTGGGGGAGGGGAAATCACTGGGGCTGTGGCAAGGCCCAGCCGCACCATAGCTCCTAGAGCACTGGGAGGCAGGACTCCAACATACAATGCCCACGTCCTTGAGTCTAACCACTGCACTCCAAATCCCTCCCAGAGTTAGGGAGAGAACCCAGGCATCCCAGCTCTCCCTCCCCCCATTCCAGCCCTCCCCAAGCTGGGGATGGAACCCAGGAGTCCTGGCGGCACAAACTCTTCCTAAGAGACCACCATAGGTCCCAATCCTTCGCTGGTGCCATCGGCTCACTGACCCCAACACTGCTCCCCCAACACCTGCCCCTCATCCCTCCCCGCATCTGAATGGTGAGTGGCCCATCAATTGGTGCGGGCGTCAGGAAAAGCTGTCGGGCTTCCCAGGCTCAGCAGGGCCTGTCGCCCGGGTAACGGGGCCTTGTGGGAACAGGGCCTGCTGCGGCCTTATTGAGGGCGGGCGATGGAGGAGGGGGACAAAGTCCCCAAGGGAGGAGTGTGAAAAGGCCAAGGGACCCCCCCCCAAGCCCCAGCAACATGTGGCTGCACTCCCACCCAGATCCGCGCCCCCCAGCTGCCTGGCAGTCCCGCCAATCACCAGCCCCTGCCCAGAGTGGGGGCCTGGGAGCCAGGACTCCTAGGTTCTCTCCCTAGCTCTGGGAGAGGAGTGGGGTTTGGTGGGTTAGAGCAGGGAGGCTGGGATCCAGGACACATGGGTTCACTCCCTAGCTCTGGATTGGAGATAGGGTGCAGGTGTTAGAGTAAGGAGTCTGGGGGATAGGATGCCTGGGTTCTCTTCCTATCTCGGGGGTGGAGGGAGTGGAGTCTGCTGGGTTAGAGCAGGGGAGGCTGGAAGCCGTTAAGAGGTGCCCGTGGACGGTGTGAGGCCCGTAGCGGCTCCTCAGCGTGAAACCGTTAAGAGGTGCCCGTGGACGGTGTGAGGCCCGTAGCGGCTTCTCAGCGTGAAACCGTTAAGAGGTGCCCGTGGACAGTGTGAGGCCGGTAGCGGCTCCTCAGCGTGAAACCGTTAAGAGGTGCCCATGGACAGTGTGAGGCCGGTAGCGGTTCCTCAGCGTGAAACCGTTAAGAGGTGCCCGTGGATGGTGTGAGGCC